ATGATTTTTGAAATGTGACTAATAGGTTCATGAAATTTCCGGAACTTGAAGTATATAAATATACTAAAATCTTGAGATATACTCTCTTCTACCTCCTACAACGCCCAACGAGTTTTTAATCCCTACTTTTTTAAACAATCAGGAGTCTCTGGAACGTGAAATAACTGAAATAGAAAAACACAACTTCAAAACAAGCTTTTATTTAGCTAATCCGAAAATGACTCAAACATTCAAAAATAATTTTTCCGATTTTGTTTTGAAAATTTGAGATGTAAGAGTTTCATTATCGTTAAAACATCTCCAATCGGAAACAAATGTTTTTAAACTTTAATTCGTTTTTTGAAAAGCTTGTATTGAAAAGACATTTTATAATTTTTTTACATATTAGTACTTATGATATCAAATAACTTGTTTAGTAGTTTCTATATGTCCTTTTTACAGGGTGTTTTAAAACTTATCCGACAAATTTTAACCACATACGCACTGTCACCAAAGAAATTGATTTCTCAAAAAAATAGATGTAATAAAAGTCCTACAGAAATCGAGATAATAGAATAATACGCTGTTGCATGTGGCAATTCTGGGACCTGTTGTTGCTTATTCCCGGATTTTCTTCCAGAATATCCAAAATTTCGTCTTCAGCATTTAAAACGCGTTGTGGGCGAATCCGACCCCCATCCACTCCACGTCTGGGGCGCAAATATCCACTAGCACGTGTACGTAAAACAATTGAACTAAATGTTTCGTGATGTGGTAAGATATTATGTACCTATTCGGAAGTCGGTGTACATACAAACGAAAAGCCGCTCGCGAATTTTGCCCTGCCTCACCGTACGCTAAAACAATGTTCACTAACTCCTCATTAGTGTACATATATGTGTCATTCTTATTAATAAATAACTAAAAGCATAAACTCGCAAAATACTTCTCCTTCAACTTCACAAAAATTGACCGTTCTTCATTCAGATCACCCACGATATAGATTAAACCTTATTTACCTTATTCTTATCAGTATGAAAAAACAAAAAAATCCTGCTATTTTGCTGCAATAAATTATTAATGCGTGTTCTAATATCACGACGGTGAAAGCAAAATATAGATATTTATTTTTCAATTATTCAAACTCAGGACTGTAACTTAATTTCTGTAGGACTTTTATTACATTGTTTTTTTTAAATCAACTCCTTTCGTAACAGTGCATATGTGGTTAACATTTGTGGGATAAGTTGTAAAACACCCTGTATATTTTAGTTATTGGACTCCGTAAAACTTCTTGCTTTATTTATGTTATAAAATTTTGGTAGATATATACTAAGTGACATATAAATCCGAACACCCAGTTTAAATGGTTTTATTTTAATAAAATTTTGTATAAATACTTAATGAAGCATAATAAGTAAATGATAAAAATTTCAAAATGATTGCACTGCTTTAAAGCCCTTTGACCTTTAATAATGTGTGGATGCACCCTGATGTGCTACGCATTCTCCAACGCGCCTAGGCATGCTTCGGATCAGGTGGTCAATGTCCTCCTGTGGTATCTCATTCCAGGCAACCACCAACTCCTCTCGAAGTGCTTCTAGAGTCTGAGGAGGACGTTGCAAATTGAGCAATCTCCTACCCATCATATCCCACACGTGCTCAATTGGGGATAAGTCGGGAGATCTTGGTGGCCATGGTAACAATATGACATCATTATGTTGAAAGAAGTCTATTGTGACTCTTGCACCATGTGGTCGGGCATTATCTTGTTGGAAAGTTGGATCTGCCAGGGTGTCAAGATAGGTAAAAGATGGGGTTCTAGAACTTCGTGGATATAACGCTGCGCGTTCATGTTACCTCTGATGAAGATTAAAGGTGACCTGGAACCATAAGCTATAGCACCCCAAACCATAACTCCAACAGTGTGATGAACATGTCTTTCAACAAAAAACTGTGGATTCCTCCTTTCACCACGTCACCTTCTAACCCTGGCAGGACCATCATGCATGCCTAAACAAAATCGAGACTCGTCACTAAAGACAATACTGTTCCATTCCTGATCCCAGAGTGACCGTTGTCTGCACCACTCAAGGCGATTACGTCGGTGTTCTCGAGTTAAAGGGAGGACCCAGTGTGGCCGGTATGAAAACAAGCTAAAACTTCTCATTCGCATGCCAATAGGTCTTCCGTGTTCTGCAAACCATTCATTTGCAATGGACCTGGTAGTGGAGAAACGGTACCTTAAGACCAATAATCTTAGGCGGCGATCTTCACGTTATGTTGTTCTACGACGGCGTCCAGTGCCCCTTGCTCTTTGCGTACGGCCTTCTTGAAGCCATGCCTGACAACACCTAACCACAGTGTCTACACTTCTTTGCACTCTAACTGCAATTTCCCGAAAAGAAAGTCCAGCTTCCCGAAGTCCCACTATACGGCCCCTATCAAACTCACTAAGTTGACGAAATCGTACAGGTCTCCGTACTCTAGGCATCGTAACCGATCGTAAAGGATATCAAGAACCAATATCCGCCAACGTTGATTCTTTACTGCGGCTGAAATATTCATTTTTAGAGCGTTAGTGAATTAAAAAAAAGCAGTATAAAAACCGGAGTGTCCAACTGATAAGGCTGAAAATTGTTTCACTTGTTATTTACAGTGAGATAAAAACATTCACCAACTTTTATTAAAATAAAACCATTTAAACTGGGTGTTCGGATTTATATGTCACTTAGTATAGATAGATAGATAGATACATTTATTGTCTTGTAGATCATAAAAAATGACATAAGACTCGTGGTACATAGTACACATAATTAAAAATAAAAACGAAACAAACATAAGTATTTACAAAGTACAAACAGGGACAACTTAAGGCGTACAGACATTCACATATAAAAAAAAGTTTAAAAAAATATATCACAGTGCGAGGTATTCAGACAAAGAGTAGAAACATTTTTCAACCAATAATTTCCGTAGTTTACATTTAAATCATCTAATGATAAATCGATAATTTTCGGCGAACGCCACGTCGAATTTGAATGACGTTATTTGCATATCGTGTTTGTCTCAGTGAGCCCTTTTACTTAACACCCATATTATGACGTGGTCCATGGAAATCATGAATCGATATTCATCGGCGGCCGCCATATTGGATCCAGAATGACGTCACTTTGCTTATTATGTTTCCCCAATCAAGACCTTCCATTTGATACCCACACTTCTTCTGGCCGCTGCCATATGCTTTGTGCGTGTCTCTCATCAAGCCCTCACTTGATACTCATGTCTTAGGTGGAACGATCAAATAAAGTCTTCCTTTTACAGCGGTCACCATATTGGATTCGCTTTTCTTACTGTGTTTCTTTCATCGAGCACTTTCATTTGATTCCCATATCATAGGGGTCAGTAAGGAAATAATTGATCGCTATCTTGTAGCATCCGCCACAATGGATTCAAAATGGCTGCAGTTAATTCGTTTCATATTGTCATGTAGACTAAACTTTAGCTCATTTGGTTAATGTTAACTGGTTGAAAATTCAGCTCCAAGATTTGTCTAACACATATATAGATAGATAGATAGATAGATCTAACGCATATACTAAGTGACAGATAAATCCGAACACCCAGTTTAAATGGTTTTATTTTAATAAAATTTTGTATAAGTACTTAATGAAGCATAATAAGTAAATGATAAAAATTTCAAAATGATTGCACTGCTTTAAAGCCCTTTGACCTTTAATAATGTGTGGATGCACCCTGATGTGCTACGCATTCTCCAACGCGCCTAGGCATGCTTCTGATCAGGTGGTCAATGTCCTCCTGTGGTATCTCATTCCAGGCAACCACCAACTCCTCTCGAAGTGCTTCTAGAGTCTGAGGAGGACGTTGCAAATTGAGCAATCTCCTACCCATCATATCCCACACGTGCTCAATTGGGGATAAGTCGGGAGACCTTGGTGGCCATGGTAACAATGTGACATCATTATGTTGAAAGAAGTCTATTCTGACTCTTGCAATATATGGTCGGGCATTATCTTGTTGGGAAGTTGGATCTGCCAGGGTGTCAAGATAGGGTACTTCGTGGACATAACGCTGCGCATTCATGTTACCTCTGATGAAGATTAAAGGTGACCTGGAACCATAAGCTATAGCACCCCAAACCATAACTCCAACAGTGTGATGAACATGTCTTTCAACAAAAAACTGTGGATTCCTCCTTTCACCACGTCGCCTTCTAACCCTGGCACGACCATCGTGCATGCCTAAACAAAATCGAGACTCGTCACTAAAGACAATACTGTTCCATTCCTGATCCCAGAATGACCGTAGTCTGCACCACTCAAGGGATTACGTCGGTGTTCTCGAGTTAAAGGGAGGACCCAGTGTGGCCGGTATGAAAACAAGCCAAAACTTCTCATTCGTCGGTAAACACTTCGCATGCCAATAGGTCTTCCGTGTTCTGCAAACCATTCATTTGCAATGGACCTGGTAGTGGAGAAACGGTCCCTTAAGGCCAATAATCTTAGGCGGCGATCTTCACGGTCTGTTGTTCTACGGCGGCGTCCAGTGCCCCTTGCTCTTTGCGTACGGCCTTCTCGAAGCCATGCCTGTCAACACCTAACCACAGTGTCTACACTTCTTTGCACTCTAACTGCAATTGCCCGAAAAGAAAGTCCAGCTTCCCGAAGTCCCACTATACGGCCCCTATCAAACTCACTAAGTTGACGAAATCGTACAGGTCTCCGTACTCTAGGCATCGTAACCGATCGTAAAGGATGTCAAGAACCAAAATCCGCCAACGTTGATTCTTTATATACATACTAACATACAAACTTGCTGCCGGTCAAAAAAGCATGGCTAAAAAAAGTTTGAGCGACTTTTGTTTTTTCTTTTGGACTTTTCCGTAGCTTCACCGTCACATTTTCCTTGTTAGTATCACGTCGCACTTTGGTTCCTGCAATGTGATCTGCAGTCATTTCACGTGGGTTATTGCAATATAATTCTCGATCATTTTATTTTAGTTAACTGTATACGAAAAGGAAAGATTGAAGAATTCCACGGGGAATAAAAAGAAAAAAGGCAACACGTACATGTTGGAATTCCTCAGAGAAGACGTGGTACGTTGCATCGTCCGATAATGCAACTCGTTTAGCGAGAAAACAGAAAAAAAGAAATTTGTACAAAATCTGGTGTGTGGGAGGGCTCCGTCGATAAATAAGAGTTATTTCGTGGGGAGCATTTTTGCACAGCAAGCAAATGAGCTCCGTAGGTTCACTTCGTCGGTCATCAGCTTCATTACAATTTTGAGCAGACTGTCAATGCTGATGACACTGGGCATCAGAAAAATTCTACCTGCTTCCTGGTACTAAGTAGTCAAAACCCACTAACTCCAGGTCAAGAAAAACCAATATGGCCATGAATGTTTTTATTAACTCTTGTTTTTAAGACAGACAATTTCACTGTATACATCGCCTTAAAGATAAACTGAAGGTAGGTAAATGATGTGTTTTAATAAAACAAAATTAATAGCTTGTCCAAAAGAAAAAATAATTTTCAATGAAGGAATAATACCATCCAATTGACGTTTCCTTATGAATTGCATTTTTTACGTCGAATCCGGAGCATCTCATGTAAGAGTCCAAAAGGACTCGAATCCTTTATAATGCTCGTCACTCGCATGTCCAGTTTTCAGAGAAACAATCAGGATGAAAGTATAGGACATGAATGAAGATTTGCTGCATGAAAGTACTTGGTACTTTTGTAGGAGTTCTTTCACCAACTGTTGGTAGTTCAGTTGCCCTAAAAACCTAACGCCACAGCCTTCACGGCTTTCCAGGCTACACCCTGTTCTTATCTATTAAAATAATATTCATGTAAGATAATGAGCACAATGCGTGGCTTCCGAAATACAGGGTGTTTAAATTTACTTTTTAAAATAGTTTTTTTTTTAAATATTTCGAACAATATTTGATGTATAACAGTGAAATTTGGTATACAAGGGCTTTTTGGTACGACAAAACGAACCATGGGCATAGTTTTACTGTAGCCGCTAGAGGGCACTCTCTACTGTAGTGTACTAAAATGACCGAAAATTTTGTCTTAGTGCAATTTTTTGCTTTTTCAATAAAAAAACTGATCCTTCGCACTTTTCTGCATAAAAAAGCTCTCCTGTGAGTTTTCATTATAGTTAGCCGTTTTTGAGATATTTCGATTTTTAAGGTATGATGCATTTTTAATTATTTATGGGAAAATAATTTTTTTAAAAATTTTCGATTTGGGCAAAGTAATTAAGATAATCGTTTAGATTGTGTTTTTAAACACAGCAATAATTTCTAACTCCAAATAAATACAAAAAAACAGAATATTAATTTGTTTAATTTTCCAACATTATTTTTAACAAATTAAATTAATTATTTGCAACTAAAATGCTATTGGATAGTTAGGACAAACATACAAAATCTAAAGTAGTTGCTCGAAATGTAAACCCAATTGTTCAATACACAATTCACATCTACGAATGATCGAACGTGGTATAGCATTATTCAAATAAGGCCTTATTTCATCACATGCATTCCTGATTCTGTCTATTAGCATATCTCTTGTGGTTACGGGAGTCTGGTACACTATTTCTTTCAGAAATCCCCACACAAAGAAATCTAATGGATTTAGGTCAGGGGATCGTGGAGGCCAGGCGACTGGTCCTCCACGGCCGATCCATCTTTCTGGATAATTTTCGTCCAGCCAGTTTCTAACTATTCTCGAATAATGAGCTGGACAACCATCAAGTTGGAACCAGGTCAATCTTCTTAAATCTAACATAACATCATCCCACATATTTGCATGTTCAGCCTTTAAAAATTCCAAGAAGGTCGCAGCATTTAACCTTGCAGGCAAAAGGTAGGGTCCAAATAGTCGATTACGGTAGATACCAATCCACACGTTCACACTAAATTCATGCTGAAAATTTCTTTCCCGAACTGCATGCGGATTTTCATGTTACCACTCCACGTCTAGTGAAGCATGACTCATCGGTCCATAAAACGTTACTTAAAAACTCCCCATTATTGTCAGTTCTATCAAGAATCCACTGACAAAATGTGATTCTTCGCTCTCCGTCCCCTGTAGTCCTTGCACAGGTTGCAAATGGTAAGGACGTCTATGGTCATTTCTAAGAACATGGTGAACATGGCTTACTGAAATTCCCAAGGCACCAGAAACTCTCCTAACACTTGTGGTCGGATCTCTATCAAACTCACGCAGAATCATACGGGTAAATCTGCGCTGACGAACATTTATGTTTTGATCCCTTTGGATATTTCCAAAACCATTTTCAATTATTTGGCGATGCACTGTTACAAATACTGAGCGAGTTGGATGTCGTCTGTTTGGAAATCTTCGTGCGTATTCTCTGGCTGTTTCTGCTGCGTTTCCATTTACGAAGCCATACACAAAATGAATATCCGCTAACTCTTGATTGGAGAATAAAAATGGCATTTTTATAAAACTTACAAAAAAAAACAGGTAAAAGAAACTAAATTTCGTGCATTCACAATTGCAAAAAAACGTTTCAGGTTTCAACAGACAACAAGACTAACTGTCAACTAATTGACGTTTAACCTCATTCTGCTTTCAATTTCAAAAATATTTGCAGGCACAGCCTACTTCTAAAAATTATCGAGATACTGACTTTTTAACGTTATTCTATCATAAATAATTAAAAATGCATCAAACCTTAAAAATCGAAATATCTCAAAAACGGCTAACTATAACGAAAACTCACAGGAGAGCTTTTTTATGTTGAAAAGTGCGAAGAATCAGTTTTTTATTCAAAAAGCATAAAATTGCACTAAGAAAAAAATTTCGGTCATTTTAATACACTGCAGGTACAGTAGAGAGCGCCCTCTAGCGGCTACAGTAAAACTATGTTCATGGTTCGTTTTGCCGTACCAAAAAACCCTTGTATACCAATTTTCACTGTTATACATCAAATATTGTCCGAAATATTTAAAAAAAAACTATTTTAGAAAGTAAATTTAAACACCCTGTTTTTCGGAAGCCACGCATTTTTCGACCCATATTTATATAGACTTTATGCATTAATTTTAAAAGTTCTATCGAATCTTAAAGTTATGCAACAATAAACTGAAACACCCTGTATAACCGGACATCACAAGACTTTTGATTGAAATTCGTGGAGAACAATGTACTAAAATTCTAGTTAATTTTCATGAGCACTCTATGTTTTGAGCATCTCATGCAGAAGCTGTTGCTAGGGAAGCTTACGACCATTGAGACTTTTGATCAAAGTAGCACAGAAGATAGAATGCCGGTATGTCAGCAAATTTGACCAGACATCTTTATAGTAATTAGGGATATTTGAGATAATCAAAAAGCGTATCTACAAATCACTCATTTGCACAAGAAAAGGATGTATCATATTGAACTTGAGACGTCTGTTATTTGAAATAAAATATCTTAGTAATTATCTGGACCAAAAACCATGAAAATTATTTACCAACATCTCGTGGAGTCTAGATTGCGATATGGTTTATTAGTTTGGGGTGGAGCTCTAACTGTCGACGCATAACTTGAGGTATTAGAAAAAGAACTTTTTATAATAGTTCATGATAAAAACAGACTTTATCCGCCAGATCAGCTGTATAGAGATGTAGAAACTCTAGATCTTCGGCAGTTGTTTTCGTTCAGTATATTGCTATATCAATTTAAAAACAAACATACGTTAGCACCGATACAATATACTTATTCAACTAGGAACAAAATTAATAAAATTAAGCAGGACTCCTTTCTCTAACAAAAAAATAGGAAAAAGATGCTATACCTATCTCGCCAGTCGGTTATATAACTTTCTGCTCATGAAATAAAAAAATAGCTTCGTTAACAAAGTTTAAAAAAGAAATATAAAATATTTTAGTTGAAAAGGGACAGCAATTTCACAGAATCATAGAAAACAGGTAAAATTTTACATTTACATTTACTGTATCATGTTGAAAATTAAAAAAATCTGTCACTAATTTTATGATATATACTAAGTGACATATAAATCCGAACACCCAGTTCAAATGGTTTTATTTTAATAAAATTTTGTATAAGTACTTAATGAAGCATAATAAGTAAATGATAAAAATTTCAAAATGATTGCACTGCTTTAAAGCCCTTTGACCTTTAATAATGTGTGGATGCACCCTGATATGCTACGCATTCTCCAACGCGCCTAGGCATGCTTCTGATCAGGTGGTCAATGTCCTCCTGTGGTATCTCATTCCAAGCAACCACCAACTCCTCTCGAAGTGCTTCTAGAGTCTGAGGAGGACGTTGCAAATTGAGCAATCTCCTACCCATCATATCCCACACGTGCTCAATTGGGGATAAGTCGGGAGATCTTAGTAGCCATGGTAAGAATGTGACATCATTATGTTGAAAGAAGTCTATTGTGACTCTTGCAACATGTGGTCGGGCATTATCTTGTTGGAAAGTTGGATCTGCCAGGGTGTCAAGATAGGGTAAAAGATGGGGTTCTAGAACTTCGTGGATATAACGCTGCGCGTTCATGTTACCTCTGATGAAGATTAAAGGTGACCTGGAACCATAAGCTATAGCACCCCAAACCATAACTCCAACAGTGTGATGAACATGTCTTTCAACAAAAAACTGTGGATTCCTCCTTTCACCACGTCGCCTTCTAACCCTGGCACGACCATCGTGCATGCCTAAACAAAATCGAGACTCGTCACTAAAGACAATACTGTTCCATTCCTGATCCCAGAGTGACCATTGTCTGCACCACTCAAGGCGATTACGTCGGTGTTCTCGAGTTAAAGGGAGGACCCAGTGTGGCCGGTATGAAAACAAGCCAAAACTTCTCATTCGTCGGTAAACACTTCGCATACCAATAGGTCTTCCGTGTTCTGCAAACCATTCATTTGCAATGGACCTGGTAGTGGGGAAACGGTCCCTTAAGGCCAATAATCTTAGGCGGCGAACTTCACGGTCTGTTGTTCTACGGCGGCGTCCAGTGCCCCTTGCTCTTTGCGTACGGCCTTCTCGAAGCCATGCCTGACAACACCTAACCACAGTGTCTACACTTCTTTGCACTCTAACTGCAATTGCCCGAAAAGAAAGTCCAGCTTCCCGAAGTCCCACTATACGGCCGCTATCAAACTCACTAAGTTGACGAAATCGTACAGGTCTCCGTACTCTAGGCATCGTAACCGATCGTAAAGGATGTCAAGAACCAAAATCCGCCAACGTTGATTCTTTACTGCGGCTGAAATATTCATTTTTAGAGCGTTAGTGAATTAAAAAAGCAGTATAAAAACCGGAATGTCCAACTGATAAGGCTGAATATTTTTTCACTTGTTATTTACAGTAAGATAAATACATTCACCAACTTTTATTAAAATAAAACCATTTAAACTGGGTGTTCGGATTTATATGTCACTTAGTATATGTTATGAATATTTGACTCAT